CTGTATCCAAGCTGAACCTTCTTGATCCAGCAGTAGGGTTACTATTTTAGGAGTCTGGGTGATTACTCAGTGGACCACTGCTAGAGAGATTGCTCCAGGCAATCTGAGTGTAATCTGGATGTGCATCTTTCTCACTGTCTGATTGTGCCCTTAGTCATCTAGTCCCAAATCATTAACATTGTATGTAATATGGCTCATACTTTGAGGTGAGCAGAGGAGGCTCTTGTGAGCACAGCAATCTTCTAAATGCAATCTAAGCTCCATGACAGGAATGAGGTACATGTGACCCTCCAGACGTCAGTTGATTGTGACACCTATCATCCTTCAACATCAGCTATGCTGGCTAGGATTCATGAGAACTGCAGTCTAACAAATCTTGAGTACCACATGTCCTCCACTGCTAATCTAAGAACTACACCAACAAAGCAATCTAAAAGCAATTTTCACCTAAACTTTAAGGATTCTGGAATATTTTCCCTCATAATTTCAGTGTTTATATGTTCTGCCTACCACATCTGACTTCCCTAAAATCCATTCTGGATACCATGTGCTGAGCTGTGTGCTTAACTTGTGGCTTCTCGTTGTTAAATTGTTAAATAAGTGGACTTTTATTAACCCAGGAATTATGTTAGGGCTCTTTACTTCTTAGGAAGGAAAGCTTACATGCTGCTGAATAGTTTTACCATCATCAACAGTTTATTTTAAGCCTTTAACGTGGGTGTATGGTGCATTTACACTAGGAGAATATAGCTCATTTTCTGTTTATTCTTAATTTGTATTAGATCTACACTCCACCTTTCTCCCAGAACTGAGACGCAAGGCAGCTAGCTTGTTGGTTTCAACCGCCAGCCACTTCTATGTTTGAAGTGAATGAGATAACTGTAGCAATTCAGAGATTTGATGTCTAACTTCTTGCTGGCCATTTCTGTTGACTATTTTTAATAAAACAGGGCAACATTCGAAAGAAATCTGTAAAGACTTGAAATTCTACAACAATTTAACGACATGTTTTCATATGTTACCGAGAATATGGAGGCATCTCTACCATAATGCAGAATAAAATGGCTGCCTCAGTTGTCAGTGGTTGACTGCCTAGGGAATGGCAGAGACGTTTGGTGGACAAGAATGTGCAGACCAGACAAACTGCCTTACCCTCCCTGTGTTAATCTGCTGCCCTCAAGAGGATGTCAGCTTGTCAACAGTACTGAAATAATACTCAGATGGCAGTCCTCTTAGAGAAGGAAAATAGATTGTGGTACTCCTGCCAATGATACTTTATACTTGTTTGAATAAAGAAGTAAAGCAGTGCTTTATTCTCAGCAGTGGCATCTACAGTATGGAATCAACTTCCAGAGGAGCTACACTTGGCCCCTTCCTAGTACTCGTTTAGAAGGCAGTTAAAAACACTGCTATCTGATCCTGGTTGAATGCATTGCTTCCACCCTTGCCTGTAAATCTGTAAACCACCCAGAATAGTGCTCCAGCACTAATGGGGCGGTATACAAACAAACAAATAAATAAATAAATAAGGGGGAAGGATAAAATACAGAGAAATTGGGTAAACAGTAAAATTGGAGGGTAAAATTCCATATCCTAAGGTTTCCTTCTCATAATACTGTACACAAATAACCATATATTGATTCACTTCTCATCGTGAAAAAGGAAGAAAATCTTTTTAGAGAAAGGTGGTACAGTCTGAATGCCGCCTATATTTTGCTTATATTTCCTTTACAAGTGATAGTATATATTTCATATACCTGAAGCATTCGGCTGATATTCCTAAATATTAATTGGTAGGGTAAAGAAGAGTACATTTTTTTTTAGAAAAGGCTTCTGCCAACAGACTGATTATATTAGATCTAGAAAATATAATGATATATTTATACAACAATCTTTATTTCACCTTTGGGGCTCACATGGGGCCTGATGGCTTACAACTACAAATTAAAAACACAGTGCAGTAGAAGATAATAAAATGAAACAGAATCCAAAGAACAGAATAATCTAAAATATAACTTATAATAGCTGGAGAAACATCAGCTCAATAGCTGAGAGGTGGGGGGAAGCAGAAAGGGAAAGCCAAGAAACAACAAAAGAGGAAGAGGACTAACAAAGGCTCTCAGGGTTGAAGTTTCCACTGTTTGGCTCCGCAAATAAAATGGGCTGTATCCTGTTTTTCAACTAACTGGTGGGACATGGGGGAGAAAAAGCCACAGACTAAGAGAATTCAGGGAGAACACTTAAAATATATTTTCACTATACAGTGGTGCCTCGCTTAGCGATCACTCCGTTGAGTGATGAAATCGCTTTGTGATGGACTTTTGGCCATTGCGGGAGTGACCGCTTAGCGATGTCCCCTATGGCTAAAATTCGCTTTGTGATGATCACGGCAAAGCAAACTTTTTAAAACAGCTGATCGGTGGTTCCAAAATGGCCGCCGCAAAAACAAAATGGCCACCGCTGGTTTGCCTCGCTTTAGAGGCACCCAAAATGGCCTCCGCTATGGAGGAATTTCACTTTAAGGTAAGTTTTTAGCCCATAGGAACGTATTAAATGCTTTTTAATATGTTCCCATGGGCTTTTTAATATTGCTTAGCGATTAAATCACTTAGCGATATTTTTTCCGGAATGGATTAACATCGCTAATTGAGGCACCACTGTACAGGTATAATTAAGAACTGAATGCCATTGATTTGATTCCAACTTAAGGCGGCCGTTTCCAGGATTCAGTTATAGAATCCTCAGAATTGGTTTAACATCTCCTTCATCTGGGAGCACTCTGAGATCATGTATTTTGTCCAATACCACGCACACAGGCTTTTCTCCTGCTAGGCACAGTGGGGAATTGAACTCCCAATTCCTGGCTCTGGAGCCAGTTCTCCATTTCACCAAGTGATGCAGCCCAACTTTATAGTAATAATTACATGATATCAAGTCATTTCTGACTTCTGGCAACTCTTTGCAGGGTTTACTAGGTATAGACTACTCAGAATTTGTTTACCAGTCCTTTCTTCTGGGGGCATCCTGTGACTATGCAGTCAGTCCTTTCTTCTGGGGACATCCTGTGACTATGCAGCTTGCCCAAGGCTACACAGGCAGAATGTTCTGAGAGGCAATCAAATTCCCAACTTCTGGTTTTGCAGTGAGGCACTCAACTCTCTGAGTTAATTAGCTTGATTTGGCTCTGTTCTACGGAATTCTTAGATTTCAACTTTGCTGAAGTACTTAAAAATCTCTGCAGTAGTTCAGGGGTGGGCACTAGAGCACTCTACGAAAAAACCTGAAGTACCTCACCAAACTACAGATTCCAGGATTCCACAGAATGGAGCCATGACCACCCATGTCATACCAAACTTCTATAACTGTATAGTGCAGGCATATTATAACACAATTTTACAAACATTTATATCATCTATTTTAATTACTGCAGAGTCACTTTTTTGAAGTTACCAAGCTGTGCCTATATAACACAAAAAGATGTAATAATTTGCCGTGGTATGTTATGATCTATCAGACCTAGAATAGATAGGATAGGTCTACTTTACCAATAGAGGCTGAAATCCAGTAGTAAATTGCTACCAGGGAAGGTCCACTGATTCAATGGGTCTACTCTAGTTTTGACTTTTTGCTGAATTTCAGCCAATAAGTGGTACTCAGATACATACCTGCATAGATTGTACAGTGGTGCTTCAACTTACAAACGCCCCTACCTACGAACATTTTGACTTACAAACAGCTCCGGTCGCAAAATTTTGCTTCGACTTGCGAGCAGAGCTTTGACGTAAGAACAGGAAAAGGCAGGGAGAAAAGGTGGAAAATTCAAACCATTGGTGGCGAAGAGGCTGCTTCTTTGTAGCTCTTTCGCCCCAACGGTTAGAGCAGCGGGTCAGGGAACTTTTTCACTCCTGTGGGGCAAGAGGAGGAAGGAGAGGCGGGGCAACTCTGGATCATCGCTGGGCGCAGGAAGCCGGTGCACTCCCTGCCCATCCCTGATGTGGGTCTACTCATGAGTAAGGCCAACTGAAGGCATGGGTCTACTCATGAGTAAGGCTCCCTGAAAGCCCTGGGCTGGGATGCAGAGGTCGGAGGGACTCCTCCATGGACGGGGCGTGCAGCGATGGTGCAGGATGAAGAAGGAGAACAGGGGTGGCTCCAGTTCGCTGCTGAGTGCGGGAAGCCAGTGCGCTCCCTGATCATCCCTGGCACGGGTCTACTCATGAGTAAGGCCTGACAAAGACACAGGTCTACTCATGAGTAAGGGCCCCTACCACCTCAGCTGCCCTAGCGCCAGCCAGAGCCTGTCGCCGCCCGCCATCTGCCGGGGAGTGATTGTCATTGGAGGAGGCTTCAGTCTGCCTGGTAAGATGCTGCTTTTTGCTTTTTAGAAACTTCTGGATGGGTTTTCCAAGGTGGATTTCAGCTGAGTGGGGTTATGTTTCTGTGCTTTTTTTTTTTTTTTGGCAGCCTTCAGGACTTGCTCTGTTTATTTTTGGTTGTTTTTATTTTAAAGCCCCACACCTTCTGATTGGGCTTTCTGTGTGCTTTAATATTTTTTTTGTATTTTTTTTGAAATGCTGAAACAGATCAATTCCATTCCCATGTATTTCAATGGGAAATGGTGCTTCGACTTACGAAAATTTCAAGTTACGGCCACTGTTCCAATACGGGTTAATTTCGTAAGTCGAGGCACCACTGTATATGGAAGTTTCACAATGTGCCAGATACCACCTATAATAATGTGTCTTTCTAAAAATGTCAATGTGCCAGATACCACCTCACCCATAGGGGTAAGGGATTAATATACCCAATCTGAAATACCCGTATCAGTGTATCTACAAATAAGACAGACAAAGCACCATAGTCTACAACACTGCAGTCAGTTCCTCCTGTAGCCACCAAAATGCATTCAATAGCACATTTGCTAGAGCAGAAATCTCACACTCTGGTCACAGCTTTGAATTTCGCACCTATAATAATGTGTCTTTCTAAAAATGCCTTACTTGAGGGTGGTAAGTTCTGTAAGTGATGGCTGGGTGGCCTTGAGATAGCTCTCTCTTCGTGCAGCAATCTTTGGAGATGGCTTTGGGCTGGTGTCAGAGTCTCCACTGTCTTCATCTCCCATGGCTTTAATGTAACTACCACTACGCATTCGTCGGCATGGGATTTCATCATCTTTGCCACGTGGAGTGTACCCGGACCATTCGTCTTGAGGAACCTGCAATACAAACATAGTGTACTGTTTATTTAACTCTTTCTTTCTCTCTCTCTCACGCACACACAGAGTGAGTTATCAGACTTGCTCAGTAAATTTATACCTAATTTTATGAGGTCATTACTGATGAGAAGGTTGAGAGCGTTCCAAATACATATAACACACAATTATGCTAGGATATATTTCTTCTTAAGAACATCTTCATGCATGGATTATGTGTAATTAAGTACAAAATGAATATGACATATAGTGTTAGAAATCAGTTGAAGTCTGTGGACATATTCTGGTAATAATTAGCAATCATATATCGGAACTAGACATGGGGACGAATAAAAAAAAGGATCGCGATATTTGTAAGAATGTCCCTTCATATTCATAGGTTCCAGAGACCCCAACAAATATGAAGGGATGAATATTTCCCCATTTTTATTCATCCCCCATATGAAGAAAAAAAAGGCATCCTTTGGGGGGGTTGGTGGCATGGGGGGTAGCGTGTCATCGTCACTTTTTTAAGGAAACCCCCCCATGAATTGACAAATGAATTCATGTTTTCTCAAAGGCTTTCATGGCTGGGATCTGATGGTTGTTGCAGGTTTTTCGGGCTCAAAAACCCACAACAACCATCAAATTCATGTTTCATCAGTTCACGGGGGCAGCTTCATGCTTTGTGAGTCGTCCCATCTCTAATCAGAACTCGTACATTATAAGACAAAGGAGGAACCACTTTTCAACTATACTGTACTGATTTTAGTTTGGGTTATGAGATGAAAGAGAGGTAAGGTACCATTTTTATCATACTTCCTTTATACAGTATTTGTGTTGACTGGTGAGATTGTGACATACATCCAGCAATAACACCAATTACTTGCTTCCATATGCTCATCTAAATCATTCTCTCATGGCTGAACACAGGACAGGCTGCCACCCAAAAATAGAATTTGGAGAATATATAAATAAATTATATCAGATCTTTAGCCTATGAAGGATCCTACAAAGGATTCAGAAGAAGTGGAGGGGTGTTACTGAGTTGCTTGATGCTGGTTTGGCTAAAAAAAGCTGTACATCTGCAGGCACCAATCCAATGATAGTGAAACTGTTCTGTTTTGTTAAAAGTAAGAGGTTTCATTTATTCAATAAGTCGGATGATCTATACACATTCACTGTATCCAGGCAAGAAAACTTTGGGACCTGCTGAGTGCTCCAGGTTTTGGATGATACAGGACTGACAGATGTGATGGTGCTTCTCTTTTCTAATCTATAAAAATCATGCAATTGTATCCAAGGAGGATATATTATGTTAGAAAGAATACAAAAGAGATTGAACCACACAGACCTCAAGGTGAAGAGCTGTTGTCCTATTCTCTTCCATTTGGGAAGACTGTGCTTGGCCAGTGGGGCTCTCCAATGCATGCACAGAGCTTTTTCTTATATGGGAAAAACGTAGTAGTTCCAGAATGGGAGATCAGAGTGGGTATTAGAGGCTTATTGCACTCTTTATGACAAGCTATTAATTTATATACTGGTGAGGGTGAGCTGATGGGATACAAGAAGTATGCGGAAACTCAACAAAGCCTGGCTCTCAGCACTGAAAAATACAGCCTGCAAAAGGTCAACAACCCCTCCCCAGCCACAAGGATCAGTGATCACTGCACACAAAAGACCAGATAATGACACCCATCAATCACAGTGACAGATCATCCCTCCCCCCCTTATCACAACAATACACCCACAACAAAAACACGATGATCACCATAATCACCCAATCTCCTGAAAAGGACAAAAGCTGACCCTACAGCTATAAATACTCAACTATCCCCCAAAACTGGACCAGAGCACAGAGTTCTGACTCCTGCCCTCTGAAGATGCTGGCAACAGAGACTGGCGAAACGTTAGGAAGAACAACCTTCAGAACACAGCCAAACAGCCCAAAAAATCTACAACAACCGTATGCAGAAAGTAATCTCAAAACAATTTTATTCCAGCCTATCAGTGTTTTAGGGAATAGTTGACAAAAAATCTCCAGAGGACTGGAATTACATGTGCCCATCCCTGCATCTACTACCACAATTTCATGTTTTTTTAAAGCTGAAAATTCTACTTGTGTCCTTTATTGGCCCATATATATGCATATGTATATATGATGATGACAGCAGTTTGATGCCCTTTTAATTGCCAAGGGCCCAACCTATAAAATCTGGAATTTTTAGGGTTTCTTAGGTACTACGACTGAGCTGTGGCTCTTAATGGATCTTAGTAGACACATTTTTAAAGTGGACTTTATTGCCTCCTTGAATAGCACGGATATGAGATCCCCTTAAAACTAGGACTCTCACCTTATTACAGAAATCTTAGCCAACTAAAATCATATGGCTTTAATAAATAAATCCACTTTTGATTAACTTGCATAAGAATAGAACAATTCTATTTTTGGAATGACACTGTAAGCATCATTTTGAAGAAGGTATTTCCTTCTGCATGAAACAGAAGGGATGTATGTTTTTAGATGATGTTCAACACTCATGTTTTTTGTATATTATATCATTTTTAAAAAATGAAATAAGTTACTTTGTTGACTAAGACATTCTTAAAATCAGCTATGCAAAGACTCTGGCCCTCACTTCAAAACTTTAAAATTGAAATAAATTTATATAGAAAAGACAGAATCCACATTTTCAGAACAACCAAGACTTAATAAAGATCTGCACTTCCACAAGTATAATTACTTCACAAATCAAGGAATCACTAATATAATTTAATGCCTTGTAGTTAAAGTGGTGCCTCGCTTAACGGGCGCCCCATTTAACGATGAATCCGCATAGCGATGGCTTTTTTGCGATCACTTTTGTGATCACATTGCGATGTTGCCTATGGGGAAAAATCGCTTTGCGATTTTTCCCCATAGGGGAAAATGTCGGCGGTGGCAGAGGTGGTGGCTTCCGAGGGACCGCGGGGGAGGGTTCTCCTGCCGTCCACTTAAAAAATGTGTCTACTAAGGGTTCTCCCGCCATCCTTCGGAAGCTCCCGCTGCTCAGCTGGGGGAAAATGTCGGCGGTGGCTTCCGAAGAACCACGGGAGAGGGCGGTGGCGGTGGCTTTGGAAGGACAGCGGGGGAACCCTCCCCCGCGGTCCTTCGGAAGCCACAGTCAGCATTTTCGCCCAGCTCAACAGCGGGAGCTTCTGTAGGGGAAGGCCCCACTGCTGAGCTGGGTGAAAATGCTGACAGTGGCGGTGGCTTCAGAAGGACAGCGGGGGAACCCTCCCCTGTGGTCCTCCCAAAGGCCCCATTTTCGGCCAGCTGATCGGTGTTTCCAAAATGGCTGCCCGCTGTGTTGCCTCACTTTGGAGGCACCGAAAATGGCTGCCCCTATGGAGGATCTTCGCACAACAGTGAGTTTTCCACCCATAGGAACACATTAAACAGGGTTTAATGCATGCCTATGGGTTTTTTTGCCCCGGATAGCGACGAATCCGGATAGCGACGATTTATCCGGAACGGATTACCGTCGCTATGCGGGGCACCACTGTATTCTCTTAACAATTATTACAATGCCTCCCAAAATATTCATCTCCTAAGACTTCTTCCTTCTCCACAAATGTTTTAAGTTTAGAAGGTAACCTTTGTTGTTATTCAGTGCCCTCTTACAGATTTATAGTGACTCTAACAGGGCTTTCAAGTTAAGTGAGGTATTTGAGGAGTGGTTTTGCAAGTTCTATGTGAGTTTCCATGACTGAACAAGGATTTGAACCCTGGTCTCCAGAATCCTAGTCTGTCATTCTATGCACTATGCCACACTGGATACCTAGAAGATAACTTAAACAAATGTATTGATGCTGATCCAAAAGAGACATCCTTCATCAGATCTTCTTTTCAGATCCCTGTTTCCTGAGCAATGTCCTTTCACTTCTGCAACATGTAAGCTACCTTTCAGGGAGCATTTCCCTGAAAGCAGCTGGTATTGCTAAAAGCACAGGGCATGACCAAAGCAAAATACGTAGGGTGAAATGTAGTTCTCCCTGATTTGGTCATATCCCCACTAACCACTCAAACCACAGCTTGCTTCTCTGTATTTCTGCTCAGGGTTAAGCTGAGTGCAACAGCTTTTAGGTATGGAAACCACAGCTCAAATCTATGAATATCCGCTCAGGATAAGCAGAGGACTCTTGGGCTGCAAAGTGCAGCTCAGTTCCACACAAGTGCTTCCTGTGTGGCAAATAAGCTCAGAGTTCCACATAATAGCTTTTCAGGCTATGAACCAGAGCCCAGTCTCACACAATAGCTTCCAAGATAACAAGAGCTTAGTTCTATGAAGCCACTTCCCAGGCTTTAAACAGCCTCTCATCTTTGATCATTGACTAGCAATAACAGCAGAAGCCTATGGTCAGATGGGATGATCACAGCTGATCCAGAAGCTGAAGGTTTGCCATGCCTTCCTTAACATGCTTTCCCCTTTCAATTTATGGCTGAAATCCTACTGTGCAGTTAATCAAAAGGTATAACTTTAAGTGGCAACTTGCGATAAGTTCGGGAATCTCTGTAGGTGTTATCTGTTGCATACTGAATCATGCAGCTTGGTGTTCAGCAAATGAAGCCTACAGAGATTTCTTAATCTAAAGCATGAAAAGTCATGCCTTTTGCATAACTGCACAACATAATTTCACTCATTATAACCTTAAGCAATCTCTGGAATGCTGTCATGTTCCCGGGGGTTTCAAGAGCAAAGTCCAATAAACCATTCCAATACCAGAAGTTCAGAGCATGAAGAGCTGATACCAAAATGCCAAAGCCAAATCACAATCCATAAGCCGAGGTCAGAGTCTGAAGCCAAATCACAGACGATAAGCCGAGGCCAGTCTCCAAAGCCAAATCACACAACATAGTCCGGGGTCAGAGTCCAAAGCCAAGGGTCCAGAGAACAAGGTTCAAGGTAGTCAGGAGCATGGATGTGAGTCAGAGATTTGACTTGTTGCTTCCACAAGATTCCCAGCCATCTGGGAGCTGATTA